AGAAAGTTTTTAGAAGTTCTAAAAAAGAAATTTTCAAATTTTATATCCATCTCCTGGTTCCACATGATCTCGATCGCTATTAAGTAGTGTTAGGAGTTTGTGTACACGATAAATTATTACTGCAACATGTATTAGCATTTCGAGTCAAGAGAAAGCCCACCTTGCGAAGAATTTAACTAATCAAAGTTGTACGTAGTAAGAATTTGTTAGTAAGTTCACTGCGTAATATAAATTCGAAATTTAAAATATAAGCGAAAAAAAAAGAAATCACAAAGAAATCAGTAGAAATCAGTAAATTTGTTATAACAACTAGCTTTCAGTCATTAAATAAAACCTTTAATACAAAATTTGGTAAATTCTTTCCGCAGCATATATTCTGTATTAACGCGAACATCAACATTTGGGTAAATATTTCGCTTTAGTCGATCGATCGATCGGAATATGTCGGGAAGCAAATTTTAATTAGTACATAAAAAAATGGTTTCGAATCAATTGCATTTAATATTCCAATGAATGTAAAGCTTACAATAGTTTAATACATCATAAAGAAAATTTTAATTAGTGGAAGACCGTTCAGCGACCAAAAGTACTTATCTTCCAATTAACAAGAAATGGAGGCTCAAGCATCTTTTTTTTTCACAGAGTTGCGTTCAAACATTTTACCCTTTTAATATTATGGATCCTCAAAATCGTAACTACTGCAATGCTTGAACGTCAATATATCGTTATTCGTTTTTCTAATCTTTAACAAAAATCTAATTAAAATTTTACTATAACGGATGAGAACCATTACGATCACTAGCTAATTCATTGAGTATACTACTTGAGAACACCATTAGCATTGAATGGTTAACGTTAGATCAATAATTTTTTTGTGTCATGGCTTTGGCAACCTAACACCAATGCTAATAATACGTATGCCAAGCAATCACCACTAGTATTTCTTGCAGCAAATATTAATAATATTAATTGCGACTTTTTTTTAACGCAACTTATTAAATATAAAAATTGACGATAGACCGCAAATTATAAAAAAATGCCATAATATCACAAGATCACGTATAATATTGTAATGCTGTAATATAAATTATGTAATATTACAAATCTATAGACCTCGTAAATTTAAGTTTATAAATTATCTGTTGTCGAACTTAGTTCGTATCAGTAGTATATATGTCATATATCGGATTTTCAAGAATTAAGTTCGATGAATTATAAACTTAAATTCAAATTATACGTACGTAATCTACATTACAAAGATAACATTAAGTTTGATATTCATTTTATTAATAACAATAAGTACATAGACTTCGATATTGTGTCTCTGAAATCTTACATCTTTTTGAAGAAAACAACTAATTCTAAAGAGACACAAATTTGCGACTTTGCAGCAGTCATCTCTAATTACCTCAGCACCTCATGACCAGGCGTCACAATGCATCAATAATATAACGGTATATGCTAATGACATATGAAAATGCAAGTATCGAGTGTGAAGGTTGGGTGGGAACTGTTACGGCTTATGCCGTAACTATTTAAAGCTTATGCCGTAACTAGCTACGACATAAGCCGTAACAGTTTTTTTTTAAATCAGATGGCAGGAATGAATGCAGCATCATTTTGAGGCTAAATCCAATAAACCCCAAAGAATTCATTGTACAATTCGCCAACCCTCTATCGGCAAGTGGAAAATCACCGGCTAAACAATCCTACGGCGACTCCCGACTGCTATTATTGCCGTTTTGACCAATATTGGTCAATTATTTATCTTTATTATATACTACAAGAGATATCTTTTTAATTGCTTTAATAAATTGCGCCTCCAGCAGTCTACGCAGCACAAGGTAAATAAATATGTTTCGAATACCTCAAATATATCTTAATTGATGACATCATATGTTTAAGATATGTTTAAGATATGTTTAAAGATATGTTTAAGATATGTTTAGGCAATTTGGATACAGGGTTTATACGTAAAAAAAAAAAAAAACAAAAAAACAAAAACAAAAAAAAAAGGCTTGCACTTGGGTTGATAAGTTAATTTCAAAAAAATAAATATCTTTGATTTATTTTGACTTGAAAATTGATAATGATAACGATAAAATTCTTTGTCGCATCGGAAATAAAAAATTTGAATATTATACAAGAATTTTATTGAACTTCTAGAAATGAGTTGGTTGGTCAGAAAAATCAAGTCGCAAAAAACATTTAATTTTAGGGCTACCGCGGTAAAAATGACGTATTACACATAGACAATGGTTTTTGTTCACGTTTAAGAGAAAAAAAATTTTAAACCATTGTTAACATCAGACCATTGTGAACTTAAAACGTATATAGTATTGATTACCTCGCCAAATTTGGTTTCCCATCAATGTTAATGTTAAATTTCATTGAGTCTTTTATGCATACGCCAACCTTCCAAATATCAATTAGAACTGCTCTTGTAAACAAATGTTAAATTACCGGCTTAATTACCGAATTAATTACCGAATTAATTACCGAATTAATTACCGAATTAATTACCGAATTAATTACCGAATTAATTACCGAATTAATTACTGAATTAATTTCTGAATTAATTACTGAATAATTAAATTCATTTGTAAAATGTTTAATGACTCTGTTAGACTTCACTTTCGAATTTCCATCAATTAAAAATTGATGTACTTGGCTTCAAAATCGTGAAATAATGTACTTCATATTTTAATCGGTATAAATTTACCGATTGATGATAAAAAAAATTTTATTATTTTTTTTTATGCTACAATATCGACATTATTGCATTTACACTAATTTTTCCTATTTACGTATGCTATTGAAATCTATTTAACGAGCGATAAAACATTTTTTGTTGATAATAAATGCTAAGCTAGTACGGAACATAAAGAATATTTAGCATAAGAAAAACTTAATGATTTTTGCATAAACCTCTGCGCACACAACTACAACGAAAAGTACAAAGAGCATTGTTTTTTCGACAAGAACAGCACTTAGTTTCACAATTTTTTTTTAGTACATCGGCAACCATCACCTCTTGTATCTTGTACACGTTCTTGATTAGATGCTTCATTTGTAATATTTTGAAGTGGTTTTATCGGTCTGGTTAAGTTTTGTTGAGAACCAGCATTTCGTAAAGAAATAAACTTGCCCATTGGAATTATGTCAAGGTCCGGAAAATCATCAGTCCCCAATGGTTCTAATTCATTTGCCGAAAACCAGGTATTCAAAATACCAAATTTACAACCAACTTGATAAGAGTCACGATTTGGCTTTTTTTGAATAACCTTACATGGCAGTGCTCGTCTGTCCATTTTTAACCTATCAATATCAGGAATTCGGATCTTTATAAGATCTCCTGGTTTGAAATTTAATGAACGTTTTTTAGCTTTATATTTTTTTTCCATAAGATTGTAAATAATTTGACGATTTTGAGTAACGTGTCTATTTGCTGCCTCTCTTAATTGTGCATGTTGACTAAAACTTGCACGAGATGAATTTTCAGCTAATGTATTTGTTTCAAATGATGTAACTGATGATGGAACTTTATCTAAATCCATATCATTATTCTAATAAAAGTTGTATATTAATATATAAATATATCTACAATAAATTTTATAATAAAATAAAAATATACTTGCCAGAGTGGGTAAATTTATATCATTATTTTGTTCAATTTCTTTACCCTTTTTATCTTTTATTACATAGTGATTATTAAATTCAGGATCATTCTCCTCATTATTACTAATTATAACTATTTCATTGTTATTACTGTGGTTTGAAAACATCGATACTAAAATTTTTATAAATTAGATAACTAAATTAGTACAATATTATTGATGTATATATAAACTATATTACATACCT